GAATGCCACCTAATCCCACCGCACAGGTCAGCCACCCAGGGCTCTTTGCCAACGTCCACCTCACCAGCACCACACTAAGTAAACAGCACCTTCTGCCCATGTGGGTGGGGCCCACCCTGGGCACTGCCCAAGACCCATTCTAACCCTAGAACAGGGTCCCCTATCCCTAGGCTTCACTGACCCCCATGTCCCAGACCAGCTCCAGAAACCTATCACTCCAAACCCAAGAATGGGGGTGCAGAGGTGGGGAGGAAGGTGGGAACCTCTTTGGAATTTGGACCCAAACTGGGGTCCTTGTGCATCCCCACTTTCCCTGGCCTGGCACCACCTTCCCTAGTCAGAAGGTCACTTCATAATAGGAAAACCATGTGCGCAGGCCTTGCAGACGTGGGGTGCAGGAGGTGTTGCATGAGCCCCACCTGAGAGACTGCACCAGGCTCCACCATCATCCCCCTCACTCTGGGCCAAGGCCCCTGCCCCAGGACACAGCCAGGAGGTGCCCAGCTCCTTCTTAGAGCTCTCCTGGGCTCCCCACACTTGCTTCCAGGCAGGGTCCTTTGCTTCCGATTTGTGACACTTTATTTGCTCAAATCCCTTGTTGAGGTACAAATCCAACTTTCAGCAAGTGTGTCTTCTGGGGCCCTGGGTGGAGCTGCTGGACACCTATCACCACATGGACTGCAGAGGCCACTGCTCATCCTGAAGGAGAAACCTGACCCCCACAGCAGGACCAGAGCCATGTTAACAGGAACGGTTCCTGGGGTCTGCTCACATCCATCCCAGCCCTGCCATGGCCCTGGTGTTTTGTTTCCATAAGCTCCTGCAGCCCATGTCAGAGAAGGGAGTGGGGCAAGACAGAGCTGGCCAGGCCAGGGCCACTGCTGTGGGAAGGAGATGATGGGACAAGACAAGGACACAGTACTGTGTCAGCATCCCCCAGCCTAATGGCATCCTGGATGCCAGCAGAAACCCTGACTTTGGAGAATATTTCATAGACTGCAAAGGAAACAGAATATCCAAGGTCATCCATTGTCATCCGCACTGACACATGGTAATGGGTTACCTTGGGTGGGTTTGAGATTCTGGATATGGTGTCTGACTGAAGCCACTTCTTGTGTTTGTCTGCATGTGATTCTTGCAGGTGTCCATCATTTTGTGTAGCTGTAGCTAGGTGTCTGTCTGAATATTACTCTGACCCCAAACCAAAGACACCGCAAGAAAGAAGTACAGACTAATATTTCTCTTGAGCATAGATACAAAAATCTTTAACAAATAATTGACAGAACCAATTATTTATGTATATGTATATATAATATATGAGAGAGAGAGAGAGAGAGAGAGAGAGAATAGCACATAATGGAGTTATATCAGGAATGCAAAGCTAATTTAACATTTTAAAACCCAACCAATATTACTAGAAATTAACATTGCAGGAAAAAAATCAGATGGTAATTTCAAAAGATACAGAAAACTACAATGAAATTCAATAGACACAGAAAACATATTTGATAAAATTCAATACTCATGATTTTAAAAAATTCAACTAATAGCAGCAGTGTAGTTCCTCAATTTGATTAAAGACATCTACAAAAAAAACACTTTTACAACATCATACTTACTGTTGAAATGCTTAATACTTCCACCTAAGAACAAGACTAAAGAAAGATTTTTGGAGGGGGGAGTATTGGGGATTGAACTCAGGGGAACTCAACCACTGAGCCACTTCCCAGGGCTATTCTATATTTTATTTAGAAACTGGGTCTCACTGAGTTGCTTAGCACCTCACCATTGCTGAGGCTGGCTTTGAACTCACTGTTAAGAATAAAGAAAGATTGTTGGGACCAGGATTGTTGCTCAGTGGTACAGTTTATGTGCTCAGCATGTGCAAGACTCTGGGTTCAATCCCCAAGAGTAGAAAAGGAAAAAAAAAAAAGCTCTTTATTTTATGATCACTTCAAACTGTTCTGCAGACCCTAGCCAGTACAATAGGCAAGAATTAAAAAGCATGCAGAATGGAGAGAAAGAAATTAAATTGTTCTTATTTACAGGTAACATGTTGATGCATATAGAAAACTTGAAGAGTTCTACCAAAAAAAAGTTCAACTAGAACTAACAAGAGAATTCTGCAAGGTTGCAGGATACAAGAAAAATATACACAAATGAACTGAAGTAGAACAACCTGACAGAAGAGTAACAAGGAAATAGAAGGCTTGAATAATATCATAAATCACCTTGACCTAACAGAACTCTCCATTCTTCTCAGGAGCACATAGACTATATGTTAAGCCATAAAGCAAGTCTTGATAAATTTTAAAGAATTGAAGTTATATAAAATGTGTTCTCCAGCTGTAACAGATGGCATTAGAAATCACTAATAGATGAAAATTTAGGAAAACTGCAAATGTGGAAGTTAAGCAACATATTTCTAAATAATCAATGAGCCAAAGAAGAAACGCAGCAAAGCTAGAAAATACTTTTAGGTAAGTGAAAATACACACACTCCAACACCAAAACTTAAGGGATGCAGCTAAAGCAATACTTAATAGGAAAATTCATAGCCATAATGTCCTCCTTTTAAAAAGAAGAATTAAAGAAAGATCTCAAATCAACAACTTAATCTTCCACCTTAAGACACTGGAAAAAGAAGAGCAAAAAATCCCAAAATAGGGCTGGGTTGTGGCTCACCAGTAGAGCACTCGCCTAGCACATTTGAGGCCCTGGGTTCGATCCTCAGCATCACATAAAAATGAATAAATAAAAGTATTGTGTCCAACTACAACAGAAAAATATTTTTTAAAAAAATCCCAAAATAAGCAGAGGATTAAAAGAATAAAGATTGAGGGGAAGTAAGTAAAATAAATAAAAAATAGAAGAACTGTAGAAAATATTAACAAAACCAAGAGTCAGTTCAACTTGGTTGATTCAACAAAATTGAAAAGCCTTATAACTACATTGACCAAGGAAAAAGTACAATCAAATTACTAAAATCAGGTTTGAAAGCAGTGGACTTTATTACAAAACCTCACAGAAATAAAAGTAATTATAAGAGAATACCATGAACAAATTTGGGGCAAAAACACAGAAGCTAACTCAAGAATAAATAGCTCCAAGAAAACAAAAACTGCTAACAAGTAAAATAGATTGAATTCATAATCAACAAATTCCTGCTGGGCATGGTAGCACATGCCTGTAATCCCAGCAATTTAGGAGGCTAAGTTAGGAGGATTACAAGTTTGAGGCCAGCCTCAGAAACTTAGTAAGGCTGTAAGCAACCTAGTGAGAGCCTGTCTTGAAATAAAAATAAAAAGGATAGGGGATGTGGCTCAGTGGTTAAGCACCCTTGGGTTAAATCCCTGATACAAAAAAAAAAAAAAAATGCAAAAAACAGGGCCAGACAGCTTCACTGCTGAATTCTATGAAACATTTAAAAAGGAGTTACCAATGCTTCACAACTCTTCCAAAAAAACAGAAGCAGAGGGACACCCTGACAACAAAACCAGATAAATACATCATAAGAAAACCACTAAACCATCACTATCCCTCATGCAATGTAAATATTTTTGAATAAAATATTAGTAAACCAAATCCAACAACACATAAAAATAATGGCTGAGCCCCGTGATCAGGTAGCATCTGTCCCAAGGATGTAAATTTTGTTCAACATACAAAATAATCAATGTAATACATGATAGTAATAGAATAAAGGGGGAAAAAACCACGTGATCATTTCAATGTAGAAAAGGCATTTGATAAACCTCTAGTACCCTGTCATCTCAGGGGGAAAAAAAAATAAGTAGAAGAAACCCTCCTGAACCCTATAAAGGGCGTCTACTTAATGCCTATAGTATCACACCTAACAGTGAAGGACTTAGAACTGTGCCTGAGATGAGGAGCAGGACCAAGATGTCCGTCCTCACCACCTCTGCTCAATGTTCTGGTGGAGATTGTAGCCAGTGCAAAGAAACAGAAAAAGATACAAAAAGCACATACATTGAAAAGAAAGAAAGAAAAACACTACTAACCGTAGGTGCATAGTCTTATATTCAGAAAATCCTAAAGAATACACACAGACACACACAGACACACACACACACACACACACACACTTGAACTATTAAACAATTTCAACAAGGTTGCAGAATACAAGATCAATATATGTAAAAAATCAATCAACATAGACTAGCAATGAACAACCCCAAAACAGAATTAAGAAAACAATTCCAATTACAATAGAATCTAAATGAACAAAATACTTTGGAATAAATTCAACAGGATTAGTACAAGACTTGTACCTGAAAACAAAATGTCATTGCAAGGACTATATTGTTAATGGGCTGGAAAATGTAATTTCAAGTTGGTAAAACCTCGGGCTGGGGTGGAGCTCAGGGTAGTGCACTCACCTGGTATGTGTGAGGCACTGGGTTCGATCCTCAGCACCACATAAAAATAAATAAATAAACAAACAAACACATATAATAAAATAAAGGTATTGTGTCCATCTAGAACTCAAAAATATATTTTTTTAAAAAGATGGCAAAACCTGCAAACTGATCAACAATCTCTATCAAAACACCAGCACCTTTGTTGTGGAAATTGACAAGCAGACCCTAAAATCCAAAGAGATGCAAAAAGGTCAAAATCAGCTCAATAAGGAACTAAAACTGAGCCAGGCGTGGTGGTGCACTCCTGTAATCCCAGCAGCTCAGGAGGCTGAGACAGGAGAATCGTGAGTTCAAAGCTAGCCTCAGCAACTGCAAGCACTAAGCAACTCAATGAGATCCTGTCTTTAAATAAAATATGAAATAGGGCTGGGGATCTGGCTCAGTGGTTGAGTGCCCCTGAGTTCAATCCCTGGTACCTCCCCAACCCCCACCAAAATAAAAAAAGAACTAAGCTTGAAGACTAACACTTTCTGGTTTCAAATTTACTGCAAATTTCAACTTTGTGGAATTGGCATAAAAGATGAATACATATTAACAGAATAAAATTGAGAGGCCATAAACAAATCCACACATTTATGATCAGTTGATTCTTATGGAGAATACTCTTCAACAAAGGATGCTCGGACAAATGGATTTCAACATGTAAAAAAATGAATTTGAACCCCTACCTCACACCATACACAAAAATTAACTAAAAATGGATCAAAGACCTAAATATAAGAACTAAAACTATAAAAGCTTTTAGACAAAAACATGATCAGAGAGAAGAAAACATGGTCATAAAACTTCACCAATGCATTTGTACAAAATTTGGGGCAATCTGATCTAACTGAACAACTGAAGGCCAAAAGAGGTAAGTCCCTGTGCAAGGTCACTGACCCATCAGGAACAGAGCTGACTTTCAAGGTACTTCTTCTACACCAGGCTGACTCAGTGACCATCTTGGTGTGCAGTCTCTGTTCAGCCAAGGATGGATAGTGGATGGTGGATGGATGAAGAGATGGTGGATGGTGGACGGTAGATGGTGGATGGTGGATAGTGGACGGTTGGATAGATAGTGGGTGAATAAACTTCTTGAGATCCATTGGTCACAAGAAACAGGTCTGTCCTGTCGGGAATATAGGTTTGGCTTTTCAATCTGTTAGTCCTGGAAGTCTTGGGTGAATGTGGCTCTAAGGGTGAGTCCTGGCTCCTGGCTACTGGGGCTCAAGAGAGCTGGAGGACAGGGCAAAGGACCTGGCCCAGCAAAGGATGGGGGAAATGGTTACGGGGTCACGTAAGGTTCACTGGTGCCTGTGGGGCTTAGTTAAGAGCCTCCAACTTGACAGATACTGGAGCCTCCTTTCCAGGTGGCTGTGTCTCTGCAGGATCAAGTCCTGGCAAGTCGGCTGCTGCTGCTTTCTCCTCAGAAATGCACTGTAGGGGAAGGCCCAGCTCCTGGGGATCCAGTGAGACCTAGGAACCTCTCGGGAATGCTAGGAGCTCTGCATATAGAGATTCTCACCCCTGCTCTTCAGATGCCACAGCCTCTGGAAACCTGCAGGGCTGGGCCAGGACAAAGAAGACTCAGAGATGGAGGCAGGGGAACAGGGTCTCAGTGCCTGTTCCCAGACAAGCCTTGCTAGTCCCCATTCCTCAAAGCACAAGAAAGCATAGCCTCCCAGCCCAGCCTTGCCCCTTCTTCCGTGCATCCCCCTCACTGCCACAGGACAACCATCCAGACCCCCCAAAACTGTGAATCACCCACGCACCTCATAAAAGCTGGAACAGCATTCCCAGCGTTCTCTCCACAGGCATGCAGACCTCTCCCCGGAAGGCAAGCCTGGCCCCACCAGCTGTGCACTCTACGTTTGTCTCCAGGGTCTGAAGCCCAGATGCCCAGGAAGGTCCTTAGGACACAGAGTCCCTCCAGCAAGATGAGGGGGGTCACCACTGTGCTCCCCAGCTTGAAGCTGCAGCACAGGATGGGTTCCCTGCCCTGTCCAGGACTGCTTGGGCAGCAGTGGAGGGGTCTGTGTGTCTTTCTGGATAATAAAGGGCTTTCTGGGCAGGGCCACAAAGGGGCAAGAGGGTTGCTTCCGCTACCCCCGCAGGGGCACAGACCTGGAGCTACGGGCACTCTGGGGACGGATGCCCAGTGCGTGGCAGGGCAGCCCTCGGGTCAGCCCTCCAAGGAACGCTGCCCACTAATCGGCAGGCTGGGGGCCAGATAATGAATACTCCACATTTTTTGGCGGCTCAAAGGCATGGTTGGAAACAGTCGCTGTTTCATTTTGCAAAAACCACACGCTTTTCGTCTGAGTGCCCGCAGGGAGGGGGTGGACTCCAGAGGAGGGGGTATGCTGGGGGCGGGCCTCCTCCTGCACACTGCGGTCATCTCCAAGGCCAGGCTGGCCCTGGCTCCCACCCAGGGGTGAATGCTGAGAGCCAGGCCCTGGAACCCCAGGAAAAAAGGACTCGGGCCAAGCAATCGGCCTGCTGCCCCTCGGCACCTGCCCCTTCAGAGCCTACTTGGGCCAGGATCTCTTCCTGTGACTCTGGTGGACACAGAGAAGACTCAGACTCCAGGCCTGAGGGTCTGAGGCCACAAGACTGGTGAGGTCACAGACAGAAGCTCAAGATGTCCAGGGTGAGGTTCTGATGTCCAGGGTAAGTGGCAGGAAAGCTTCCGGAACTTCCCATCTAGAAGCTGATGGGCCAACCCTGCCTGCATCTCAGTGCACAACTCTGTGCTCCAGGACGGGACCTGAGCTCTCTTCTCACAGGAAGTGCAGGGTGCACAGAAGGGAGGCCTGTGGCTGGACCTGGACCAGCCCTCCCTGCTCCTCCATCACGCTCAGGGATCCCAGGCCTTCCCCAGACATGAGGCCAAATCCCTTTTGTTCATGATAGCTGACCAGGACAGCGTCCAGTACAAGGTCATAGTGAGGTCATCCAAGGTCATAAAGGCTCACCAAGGTCACAGTGAGAGGCTCAATCAAGACCACAGTAAGTTCACCCAAGGCCATGGTGGGGGAGTCCAAGGTCACACGGTGGACAGAGCTCACAGAGCAGTGTTCTCAGAAGTCACCCATGTTCCCCAGGCACTCTGCCTCCCTGACCCAAACTCAGACCTCTGAGGAGGGCACTGCTGGTCTGCAGTCCTGGCCAGGCCCACTAGAGACACTGAAAGTCCAGCTCACTCCATAGCCATGTCACAGGGTACACAGGGACTGGGGACAGCTCCCAAAGAATTGTCATTTGTGGCTACAGACTGGTCCAAAGGGCCTGGATGGTGTGTGCCTGCCCCTGAGCCCTGCTCCTTCCACCAGGGCCTGCTGTGGGCTCCCTCAGACCCATCCCCATCCCACTGCGGACGGCCCATATGGATGGGGCCTAAGCAGGCAGGAGCCAGCAAGGAGGCCAGGGCCACTCTAGATGCTGAGCTTCATTGTAAGAGGTTCTGAGAGGGCAGGAGTGCAGGAGGGTTCTGCCTGTGGGATGGGACGTGGAGCTCATGGAAGGCCTGGCCAGCCAGTGGGCACAGACATCCAGGTGGCACACTAGCCACCCTCCACATAGCCCTGGGCTCCACTGCACCTTCCCAGTACCCATGAGGTCAGGGGTGCCCTGCAGGGTCCCCCATGGCTGTCTGTCTCTGCTGCCCCAGGACCCAGGCAGTCTCTAGGTGTGCACACGCACAGCTGGGTCTGGCTGCTGGCCCCTGGCCTGTGTAAACAGGCCCTATAGAAATGCATCTTTCTGCCATGGAGCTGACAGTTCTGAGGTATTTCCCAAGGTCCTCAGGGACCCCGTAGGGAGGAGCCAGGAGCCTGACTCCTTCTCCCTGTTCCTGGGACCTCTCTCCCAGGAGCTCTGCCAGTCTTTCAGGCTCCATTTTGGGGTGTTTGGGAGCCAAGGCACCCCAGATGCCCACTTTGCAGCCCCATCTTTGAACAGGGCACCTCCTGTCTATAGCTCCCAGTACAACCCCACCCTGCAGCAGAATGGACACAGGACCTCACTCAGGGTCCACCTGAACCAGCAGGAGTGCCCACCTGCATGGTGAGAACCAGGGACTCACGTGGGTGGAGTAAATATGCCGGGGCTCCAGGGCCATGTGTCTAGCTGCCTCTGGAGATGGAGGACAATAAGCCTGGCCTGTGATGGGTGACAAGAAGCCAGGGACTTAAGGAAGTCCTACCCGACCCTCCCTTCTGTTTCTGCCAGCTGATTAGCTTGCCATTCACTACCACTGTCAACTGGAGGAGGAAGGCGGGGCAGGCAGGGTAGGGTGAGCTGGTCCCCAGGTATATGCACATGGAAGGTGTTGGACCAGTCCCTGAGGTGGGGCAGCCAGCAGGGAGCTTCATTGTCCTCAGGCTGGACCCAAAGGCTAGCACCGTGAGCACACGGGATGGAGACTGCAGCCTGGGGTTATCTTCGGTGAGAATCATAGGACCGTGGAGCACCAGAGGGGATAAAGTCAAAGGTTGGGGCCAGTGAAGGTCCATCTGAACCCCAGAACAGAATCCTGCACAGAGGCCCCGATATCCCACAGGGCCTTTCTCATGGCCTCCTTCCTATGGAGACCCGAGCCTTGAGTGGTTGGGCCAGGTACCAGGCACAGGGGCAGCAGGGGTCAGAGCTGCCAGGTGGACTAAGGCCTGATGGGGTACATCTATACCTTTCCCTGGGGTGCCTCTTGGGAGTTTCCCACAGGCTCATCAACCCCGTCCCAGTCACCATCATTCTGGTTTACAGATGAGGAAACTGAGGCTCGAGCAGTCAAGGCAGGCTGATGGGCACCCAGCTGCATATGCAGCTGAGCACCACGCAGAGGCCTACCAACCACCCACACAGCAGTCAGTACAGGGAAAGCCGTGTGGTGCCCTCAGTGCTGGACAGCATGGGAGGGGCCTGCCCCAGGTAAGAGGCGCCCCCCCCAGCAGCCAACCTCCCCTTAAAACAGGTCCTCAGTCACAGGAAGCCACATGTCAAACCCACAACGTGCAAGCTGCCTCCACCCTGCGCAAGTGAATTTTTAATTTAAACCAACATTCTTTAAAAAAAAAATTAAATCAAACTATTTTAAACTTTCTATCAGAGCCAAAAATGAAATATCAAGCATTGTCACTAAAGTACTTTTAATCCAAAGCACAGCTTAACGCCGACCCGTCTGTCACAGCCGTCTGGAACACAGGCCAGGCCGCACGACTAGAGTGGAGCACCCAGCTCTCGGGGCTCAGCCTGGGAACTGGGGACCTATTATGTTGTCATCATTCCCAGGACTGAGGCCATGCCCCACACCCCAACACCCCCTGCACCCTGCTTGAAGCAGAACAGGCCTTAAGGTGGCTGTACTGGGGCCCTAGGATCCAGGCATCGTGCCCTGAGATGACAGCCGCTGGGCCGGGTTCAAGTCCCCCCTGAGCATTCTTGGGAGGCTGCCTGGGCCCCAAGCCTCTCCGTCCCCTCACCTTACCTTACTGGGGAGGATGCTGAAGGCCCTCCACTCTCGGACTGCACCCCTGAGCCTAGGATGCTGCACCCTGGCCTCAGCCAATTTCCAGCAGGTCAGGGAGGTGCAGGAGGGGCCACCAGCCCAGGCTAGAGGCATCGGACATCAGGGTTCCTAGGTTAGAGATTGGGACAGTCCCAAAGCCTCTGTGTGCCTCAGTTTCTCAGCTGTGACATAGGGTGCTAGCAGCAGTCCAGGACGCCCCCATCAGGGGATCAGATGAGCAGTGACTGAGGCTTGAGCTCAAATCCAGTTTCTTCTTGTGACCTTAGTAGTATGCTCTGGGTGGGGGTGGGGGGGGTGTCCCTGCTGTAGCAATTCTTGTTCCATCTCATGGGAGGATCCAGACACTCTTTGAAACTGGAGCAAGTGGTTGTAAGTGAAAAGCAAAGAGCGCTTGTTTCTGGGCTCGGCTGCCATCGGCTGTCCACGATGCAGTCAGGACAGTCAGCCAGCCAGCATAGGGGGCGGGGGGGCAGGCTGCCAAGGCCCACACCACACAGCACACAGCAGCAGGGAGTCCAAGGCCCAGAGAGAGAGCGAGGTTCCTGGACATACCTGGCCTCCACAGAATTCCTCCGCTGCCTGCCCACTCCCCCCACCCCCCAACCATATCCCTGGGACTGTCCATTCAGGGTCCCTCCAAGGAAGTCACAGTATCTCAAGGGCACAGCTCCATCTTGAAAAGGAGCAACCTTCTAGTAGGCTCAAGTTCCCATCCCTAGACTCTCTGGAAAAAACCAAAGCTGAGTACAAAGGGGTCACAGGTCACCTGCAGAGATCCAGCTGCTCCTGACTCTGGAGCCTGGCCGCAGCTGGGACAGTCCCAGGCAGCTGGGACAGTGGGGCTGGCTGGTTGGAGCCAGCCTTGTCCAACTGGCTCACAGACCAGGATGCCCGGATGAAGGGGGAACCTAGACCTAGAGAAGGAACCCAGCAAAGGCTGCAAGATTGGCAGCCCTTGGCAGGAACAAGCTGTGAGCAAGGAGCTCAGGACTGCAGGCCAGAACAGGGACCTGTTTCCAACCACTGCTTGGCCTCTGCAACCTCAGGCCCAGAAACACCAGGGGTTGGTGTGGCCTGCTCCCAAGGTCACAGCACCAGGTGGTGGGAGATGCCAAAGTCCACCCCCACACACACACATACACCCTACCCCAGGAAGTCCCAGGCACATGACAGGCAGTGTCCTTACTACGCTGAGCAGAGGTGCAGGTGGAGGCCCTGGCTCAAGGTTATAGCTCCCAAGATGGAAGAGGGCCCTGAGCAGAAGCTGTCTTCTGGGGCTCACACCCAGGTGCAGCCCGAGGCCAGGCTAGAGGGGGTGCAGACAGGAGGAGAAATGCCAGGAATTCAGGACAGACCCGCAATAAAGGCTGCAGGCGAGGGTGGTGGCTCAGAACAATCCAGCCACAGACCACAGCCTCCCTGGCCTAGAGCCCCACCTCCACCCTGCCTGCCAGGCCAGCACTCCCCAGCAGACCAGGAGGGGCCAGCTGGGCTCCACCAGGACCCTCCACCTGGGGAGCAGTAAAGAAGCCCACAGGCCAGCTCCCACAAGTGCCACTCCTCTGCAGTGGCCCAGGACTCCGGGCCTCTTTCTGTGGGATTCCCCCCACATCTCCAGGTTTCTCTGCTCCAGTTTTAATGGACATGGTATCTCACTAGATGGCCTTGCACGTACTAAGCAGCACATCAGCATCTCACAAAAACACAAATGACAGGCTTACACATCGGATGCATCAGAGGTACACTTCAGGTACAGTGTTGAGATGGCAGAGGGGGCGGGGCAGGACCTTAGCCCCTGGCACAGCATCTGTCCATCCACAGAGAGGAGGTGGGGACACTCCTGCCCTGGCCTCCAGCACTGCTTTGGTAACTTTAAGGAGACACTTAATAAGCCCTAGCACTGTGGAGACGGACCCAGGCCTCCATCCTAGAGATAATCCCACAGGCACAGGGTCTGAGAGCCAGAGGCACCAGGAAGGAAGTGGCCATCCAGGTTTCAGGCAAACTGCATCAAGGCAGGCAGTCACAGATAGCCGGGCTCACTGTGTGACACTCGTCCCCACAGCAGGACAGCACTCTCTGGTCCATCCTTGTCCACTCTGGAGTCCAAGGGCAGCAGCCTTCTAGAAGCCCATGTACAGCCAGGTCCAGGGACTCCTGCCAGATGGCTCCAGTCCCCATTTTCACCCAACAACTGCCCATGCAACAGGTCACAGGAACAAGACTCCAGAAGACTCCAGAAACATGACCACAAAAATGCTTCCCCCACGGGGCATCCATCTTGATGGCTTTTTTTTTTTCTTTTGGTTAAAAAAAAAAAAAAAAAAAGAACAGCAGGTTTGCAGGTAGATAAAACCGATAATATTAAAAATACAAACTTCACCTTTACAAATCAAAATGAAAAGGACAAAGAAACCACACACACACACACACACACATATTTCTGTTAATACAAGCAAAGCACAACATTTTACCCAAAATAAAGAATCTAGGTTCTGCCCCGATGCCCCTGCAGGTAGGGAGCCCGCATCATTGGGAAGCCACTCTGCTTGATGGCTTGCGTGGAGTCCTCTCCAAATGGCTTAAATCAGGAAAAAAAAAAAAAAAAAAATAGGGAGTATGTGGGGCCAGATTGGGGAGGGGGACACAGGAAAGTCAGAAGCATGTAGGAATGATGCATAGGTGGGTATACCGCGTTTATTTTAATACATCTCATTAGTTTGCATCTTGCTAGGAAAAATACCGTCGCTCTGTCCTGACAGTTACAGCAGCCTCGTGTGTTATCGGCGTAAATGTCATCCAAGAGATAATTAAAAAAAGGTTGGGGGGGAGGGGTGGGAAAGCTAGGCAAAGAGTAAAAAGGAAAGCTCCGTAACTTTACGGTGTAAAAAAAAAAACCCATTAAGGCTCCCAGGAGGGTCCCACAGACTGGAGTGCTGCAGCGAGGGGGTGTCCACGTGGTGATCCAAGCCTGGCTTCTCCACGCCAGGCTCCGACTCAGCAAAAGCACCGCGGCCCACACAGATCCACCCGCGAGCCCACTGCGCTTCACCGCGAGCCCACTGCACTTCACCCCGCACGGGGCAGCCCTACCGCCGAAGGCTTAGATGTTTTGGAGTCCGTTTTTTTTTTGTTGTTTTTTTGTTTTGTTTTTTGTCGTGTTTTGTGGTTTGTTTTCTCTCTCTCTCTCTCTCTCTCTCTCTGTCTCTCTCTCTCTGACAAGGAAGCTTACAGTTTCTCCGAGTGCTACAATACTTGCTTTGCTGTCACACTGAACAAATGTACACTGTCTCTTTGTTCTCCAGAGTGCTCTTGGACACAGTTTTTCACGGAGGAGAACAAAGACCGCACGCCGGCAATAAAGCACCGTACATAGTAGGTTCAGGAATGTAACACGCCATGTACATCCGTGTCCCAGGAGAGGGCTGCTGCTGATCCTCACCTCACATCTGCAAGGAAGAGGGGAGACAGAGGCTCAGAGGTTGGGCCACCAGGCACGTATCACTGAAGCAGTGGAACCCAATCAAGGGCACCCACGGTGTTAAGTCTGAGGATTTAAACTTGCCAGTGAAATTTGAAGAATCATCTTAACCATTGTGGCCATATCCTGAAAGAATTGGGACTAGGCTCATAGCATCTCACAGAAGAACGTGTTTTTGACAGCAAACTCCACGCTCCCATTGTTCAGACAGGGAAACTGAGGCCCAGAAGGGTTCTTTTGCCCTTCTCCCTGCCTTCCTTTCTTTCCAGCATAGGTCCTGGACATGACTTCTGGAGCTCTGGCAGCGATTTTGGGCCATGCAACTAGCTGAGGGTGGATGTCACCAGCCCCAGACAGAGATCCCTTGAGCCAGACTGATCTACATTGGACTCTTTTGTTGTTGTTGTTATTACTTCCAATGCTGGCAATGGAACCAGGGCCTTATGTATGCTAAGCAGGCGCTCTATCTCTGAGCCACACCCCAAGCCCCAACCAACCTTGCTTCTGCATCCTACATTCCAGCATGTGGTCCCCCTGTGTGTGGAGCCTGAGTGCTCCCACTTACTGAAGGGGAATGGACCCCAGGGACAGGCAGGGAACCACCCCTTCGCCACACCCTGGGCTGTGGAGGCCCTGGCTGAGCATTGCTGGGCTGCTTCAGGGATGCCGAGTGGGTGCTTTCCTCCCACAGGGTCCTCACAATGGCCCAACCCACAGGCCTCCAAAGCCCCTTGGACTGGCCGCCTTCCCCAGCCACATGGCCCAACAGGAGCCAGGGCTCTCAGACACACTATCTCTGAGGAATCTCCTCTCGTCTACAACAACTATTTGTCTTGGATGCCACAGAGGCCCACGTGCCAGGAGGAAGGGCCAAGCCAGACGGGCTCCAGGCTCCTGAGCCAGACAGGCCAACCAAGGTTGGGAAGGCCCAGAGCTGCCCTCTTCCTCTGGGAGGCAGCACGCCTCCGGGTGTCTCCCAGGGAAGCCCCGGGTGGGGTTTCTGGGTGACTCTTCAGAGGGGCTGCTACCTTGGCCCCTCTTTCTCCCCACCTGCCTTTTCTCTTCCAGCCTAGAGCATTAGTATGACTTCTAGAGCTTGAGCAGTCACTTTGGCTCATGAGACAGCTCTGACACCCGGGACAACCACCCCTCCTGGCTCTTCCCATCTCTATCCGAGCATCAGAAACTTCCACCCTCACTCCATCTCTGATGTTGCTGATGCCCAAGAGCCAACATCTCTGTGCATTTATAAAGCACTTCCAGACCCACTGAGCCTTCGACAACCCAGAACTGGAACCAGTGAGGCCTCAGTTTCCCCAGCTGCCAATGGAGGGGGCAGGAGGTGGTCCCACCACACTGCTCCAGCACCCCAAACCTTTCCACTCGTGTGTGATGCTCTGCAGCCCAATCAGGAAGAGCAGAGCAAAGCCAAGGAAGGGGAGAGCTGCGAGGAGCCCGCACCCAGCAGACACCCAAGCACGCAGCCCAAGGCCTCGCGCCCGCCCCAGGGAAGCTGATTCGCTGCAGTGATCTGTGGATTGGCCTCCCATCCCTGCAGCATCCCAGCGCCCGCTGGCGGGGCCTACCTGGCTGGCGCTCTAGGTGGGTTTTAACCTTTTTCTTTTCCGTTTTTTACCTGACTCCCTACGCCTTCCTGTTAATGAAAGGGCAGGGACCCGTGAGCGGCCTCGGGAGGCTGTCCAGCAAAGCTGCAGCAATAAATACCTGAGGTGTTTATCTTTCTGCAAGAAGCTCGATCCGCCCTGGCAAAGAGACACTTCCGTGTCCCCTCCTTTGTGCCTGGGGCTGGCCCAAGAGCAGGTCACAGCACCTCATTGCTACTGGGCACACTACCCTGCAGGGTGGAGGCCAGGACCCCATCACAAGGCCACCACCATATCCAGTGCCCCCTCTTCCCATCAGTTCCTCCTGCCCACCCAAACAGGGGCTTGGCAGCCATGCCTCACCTGCCCATGCCCAACGCCCCGAGAACCCAGGGAAAGACCCCTCCAGCCTCACTCGGGCTGAACCCTCCTCTCCAGCTAGCCCTGGGGCTCATCCTGTGCTCCCCAGGGAGCAGCCGCCACTTACCGGTCTCCTCTTCCCGGTGGTCTGGACTCAGGCTGGAGGGTGCGCAAGCACACTCCAAGTGCTCCTCCAGCCTCACCTGGACCTCTTTCAACCGTGGCTTCTTCCTGACGTATTCCACCTTGGCCACCTGCCAAGACAGCAGAGCTACTGACACCTGGGGGCTTGGAACACCATGATGTGGAGCCTGGTGGCTTGGCCCTCCCCAGGCTGCAGTCAAGGAAGGGCCCTGAACTTGACCTCCAACCTCCAGCCTCCCCTCCCGGGGATCCTCCCTTGAGTTGGGAGGGCAGGGGTGCCAGGTGCAAACAAACTTGGTCCCACTTGTTTAAATTAACCCAAAGGTTCACGTATGCCTGGGAGGTCTGAGGGCTGCTCAGGTGGGCAGGGAAGGCATCTGCTTCCATGTTTACCTGCCCCTGGAATGTTTCCAAATGTGTGTTTTATGACTATTGAGGAAAAAGAAGCCCTGGCTGGAGACAGAGCCCTGCCGCTGAGCTGGACTGGTGCTGGACCTGCTGTAGGGGAGTCTCTGGCCCCACCTGCCTACAGCCCTCTAAGATGACCCTACATGGTCCGGGCCTCTATGGAGACCCATAGCCATTGACCAACTCCATATCAGGCCTGAGGCTCTCCTTGAGCTCAGAAAAGGCCTGCCCTGCCCTTCTCAAAAACATGGGGCAGAGACCCCGGCTGCCACCGTGGCCACTCGAGGTGGATCCAGGAGGAGTGGGTACAAGGCCACGATTTCAAGTGCAGATTGCTTAGAGGCCACCCCGACCTCAGCAGGAGCACCTCCACATCCCGCCCCCAGCTCCCTGGGCACAGAACAAGAAGGTGGACCTGCCCCACAGCCCACTCCATCACCCCCCCACCCCACCCCCACCTCCGAGTAGCTGCAGGAAAAAGCAGAGGACCCCAGGCCCAACCTCTGAGTTTTTCAAAAATGGGGGACCAGAAGCCAATCCCTAGCCCTGCGGGACAGGCACTGCACCCTGGACCACACACACTGACTCACAGGAATACAGCTCTACTTCCATGTGCACCTGTATAACACACACATGTGCCCACCATGAGAAGCAAGTTCACGGCCATGCACACACGTCCATAAAGCACACCCCCATTATGGGAAGCAAGTCCACCCATGCAGCGTCCCCCTAGCAGCTCCTTTCACTCCAGCACAGATGAGGAACTGTCTGCCCAGAGAAGCCGATCTCCCCTTGGTCAAGTGCAAAGACCAACACTCACTTAGCCCTCAGACCCTCCAAGGAGACAGGAGTATCATCTCCATGGCCAGAAAAGGAAATTGAGGTTTGGGGAAGCCAAGATGGTCCTGAAAGCAAGAGTGGCAGTCTGACCCTAACCACTGGGCTGTTCTGCCTGCCACCTGGAGTACAGGCAGGTAAAGTCAACCCTGAGGTGCTGGGGACCAGGCTCTGCTGAACCCTGCCGTGGCTGCCACCTCGGCTGAGCTAATGATTAACCTGGAGTGCAAAGGGTGCCGGGTGCCTGGCGGGCGTATGGACTGGCGTGGGCTCTCAGGTGTGAACACAGGCTGCCAGGTATGAGCTCAGACTGCAGGGCGTGGCTGGGGGCCAGGGGTCAGCCCTGAAGGTTTCGCTACGTCAGGAGGTGGGAGAGATGCTGGCTGGGAGGAAGGCGCGTAGGCCGTGCCCGGGCTTCCCTGCCAGGGTGTTCCACCAGGTACCTGCGTGCAGCAGCCTTGGCGAACCTACTCCTGCCCTCTTTCCCCAGGTTCATGGCCCAGGAGGAGGAGCCTATGGGCTATGCTGTGCCCTCAGACACTGTTGGCCTCTCCTGTGAAATGGGGACATTAAGCACACCCACCAGGGAGCTGAGGAGGGATAAGGTGCCCAGGACTGGGACAGAGCCAGTGCCACATGTACAATGTCTCAACATGAGGCCCACCCCACTCCCCCAAAACCAGCCCAGACTCTGCTCAGAGAGGCCAGGCCTAGAGACCCCCAGGGGCTCCAGCAAGGCCCCCTCTCCAGTCCTCAAGCTCCACACAGCAGCTGTGGCCCCCAGCCAGCAGAGCAGTGTCTCAGAGACCTTCCCTTTGAGGATGGGACAGTCCCCCCTCCTCAGCAAGATTCTAGAACAGCAGAGGTTCAGTCACCCTGCACCCAGCCATACCCCCACTGTCCAGGAATCAGATTCCAAGTCTGTCTCCATGCTAATTGCCTGGGGACTGGGTGGGGGCTCAGGGCCTGAGTGGGGCTCCCCAAAATGTTGTAGTCTCTATTTTCACAACTGAATTGGCTTTTGCGTGATATAAGCACAAAACTGAGCCCAGTAGCCTCCCCCCTCCCAGGGGGCTCTGTCTGGGTGGATGCTCTGCTCCCAGACACCCCTGGCCTCTGTGGTGGACGAGGGGAACAGGGCAGGGCTATCAGAGCCCTGAGGTCAGGCTCAGGCAAGGTACTTGTCTTGCTCTTGGCCTCAGCCCTCCGGGTGGCACAGCCTTTTTGATCAACAGTAGATGCCCCAGCAGGGCAGACACTAGGGCCTGGGCTAGGCCAAGACCACCCACCAGGCCCACCCCCAACCCCCAAGCTGGTAGCAGGCTGGCTCTTCTCCAGAGATAGGTGGGTGCCGTGAGCGGGGTGGGGTCTCAGCAATGCCACCCTTGTGGTCCCAGAGGGACACAGATGGGGCCGCTCCAGTCTAGGGGAACGCTTTCTCTCCAGACAGCCCCATGTTTATCAGAGAAAAAGAGACAGCGATTTATGATTGCACCTGCTCCTGGGTCTGCAAGAGTTCTGGCTGCTCCACCACCTCTGTCTGGCCAGGAAATGGCTACATTTTTCTCCCAAGAACACGTTACGAATATTAAATTCTCAAAAGCCTTCTTCACGAAAGCCAATTCTGAAAATAGAGACTACTCCATTCTGGGGATCCCTATTCAGGCTCCAAGGCCCCACCCAGTTCCCAGTTTGGGTCACTGTGCCCTCAGCACTCGGTCCCTCCCTCCCTTCCTCCTCTTTCTGGGACAAATGGGCTGCACTTTCTCACACCCAACATCCTAATTCCCATTCTTTCAAAGACATCCACTTATATCCACCCTAGTAAAGCCACCAAAATCCTCCGGTCACTGTCACCCTTCAGAGACCTCCTCTGAGGGATGGTCCTGACCATTCCAGAGCTTCGGGACAGAGCAGATACCAACTCCCATTTACTGAGCCCAGCAGTGTGACCCTTACAGCAGGCGTGAGCACCATGTGGCCCTTTTTAAAGGAGGAAATGGTATAAACAAGCAGGCAGCCCCGCTCAGGGTCCCCAGGCTTCAAATCCCAGGCCCTTCTGTTTTCTAGGGATGGAAATCTCTCCAAATCCAGAAGACCCCTGCTTAGCCAACCCAGGAGGGAGGCCAACACCAGACTTCAAACCGGTATGAACAGGAGCCCTGCTGGGCCTGCTCCTAGGGCCCAACCCAGCATCTCAAATGCAGTGACTCCAGACTCTGGGGCTCACAGCCTGACAGGCACCATTATCCACTATGCTGACACCCAGCCTCCTAGTGCCCCTGTCTCCCCCTCACAGGGAAGGACGCAGAGACCCCTTCACCAGAGACCAAGGCTACTACTACCACCCCACCTTCCCCAGACCCTGCACAGGACCCCAACAATGAATGATGGACCCACTGGGAACTCCCCCAGAACACCATTCTGGCCTCCACCAGGGAGGGAGGCCCATCCTTGGTGCCTGGTGAGAAGACTCTTCCAGAAGCCTGAGGTCCTGCCCAGCAGAACCACAGCCCAGCCAGAGCGGCAGTGGAGATGAGCAGACTGAATCAATGCACCGATGCCCCGGCCCCTGTTCTTGAGGCTGCCTTAAAAGGCACCAACCTGAAGCTTTCCTGGGCATCAAGAGCAGACTCCATTTCTGGCAGGGCCAGAGCAGATGGCAGCTCAGAGCTGGTCCCCATCCCTAACCTCAGAGTGGCCCCCAACCAGTCCAGGCCAGGGGTGGACACTGCCAGGTGAAAAGCTACTCACTCTGGATCGGGACTTTGGGCCTCAGCTCTGTCCAGGCCAAACCACTGGAGGCCAGGCTTGTCTAGTAGCACCAATACCCACTTCTGCTCCCTTCGCCCAACCCCTGTGATAGGGGTCTGGAGGAGATGCTGACAACATGAAGCAGGTCAGAGAAGCATGGCTAGGACCCCTGGTGGCCTCTCCCCAGGGCTGAGGGCCAATGATGGCCTAGCAATCCTTGCAGGTGCTAGGCCCACAGAGAGGCCTCCTCTCTACACATCCCCACAAGAGATAGGAAATCCTAGCTCAGGTGCCACGCTGAACTGGGGCAGTGGCCAACACACCTGGGTCCTTGAGCTTCCTCCTAGAAGTCACAGGAGACTGGCCATCCACCCCAGCCACACCTCCCAGAGCCTGATTCACCAGCCTGGGGGTGCCCTTCCCAGCCTTTCTGCCATCTACATGACAAGGGACTTGAAAATGTTCTTCCAAAGACCATAAAGACTAGAGTTCCAGGTGGACAGGGTTGCCATAGGCTCCCCAGCTCCCCCTGAACCCAGCTCTGGCCCCTTGTCCACATACACAAGTGCTTGGCTCCAAATAAGTCCATGTTCCAGGCCCATGTGCCTCTGTCCAGATCAGGACAGGCCTCCTGCTTGGCTTCCACAATGGGCCTCCAGTTCCTGCTGACTTCCATGCTTCTGCAACAGCCCCCAGTGTCTGGGGCCAGATATTCCCCTGAAGACTTATGGGTGAGCAGGGGGAGAACTTTCCTAGGAGGGAGGGCCAGGCTCCAGCGGGCAGACAAGACCCACAGGGCCAAAAAGCATGAGCCCTACATAGTGCACAGAAGAGATCTTTCCCAGGGAGGGCATCTCTGAGGGCGCTAGGCCAAAAGACCTGGAACCTATTTGGCTCACTAGAGACCAGGGAGGGAGGCACCACTACCGTGCTGGGAATGGATACTCTTTGTCCTCACCCCAAAAGAAACAAAGGTGGGAATGTGGGAAGTCCCAGAAGCTAGAGGCCATAGGAACAAGCCCAGCCCCTCAGTGCCCAGTGCCCACATAAGACATCTCACCTGGATCTGACCTATGCCTGTGCCCAGGAGACAGCAGGTATCCCAGCCTCTCAGGACTATGTGACCCCGCCCCCACGTCCGCTGCCACCCTGCCACCACCAACATACCACTGATAAGAACCCTGAGGCCCAAGGAAAGGGCCAGGGTCACACAAGGAGAGATGGCCTGGGCTCACGCTAAGGGAGAGATCCCTGGCCACTGAAGCCTGGAAAAGTGAGTCAGCCTCCAGTGTCTGACCTACAGACAGGAGAGTTCCCCAGACAAGCCCTGAACCCAGGGAAACCCTTGGGCCCTTGAAGGGGAGTGCCAGTCTGGAATTTGCTCACTCAACTTCCAGGGCTCTGTGAGGACCAAGTCCTGGAGATCAAGATAAGTCTTAGCTAGCCTGCCCAGAGATGCACACCTGGAATCCCAGCAGCTCAGGAGGCTGAGGCAGGAGGATTGCGAGTTCAAAGCCAGCCTCAGCAACTTAACAAGGCCCTGAGCAACTCAGCTAAACCCTGTCTCTAGGGCTGGGGATGTGGCTCAAGCGACAGCGCGCTCGCCTGGCATGTGTGCGACCTGGGTTCGATCCTCAGGACTGCATACAAACAAAGATGTTGTGTCCACTGAAAACTAAAAAAAATAAATATTTAAAAAAAAAAAAAAAAAAAACCTTGTCTCTAAATAAAATATTTAAAAGGACTGGGGATGTACCTCAGTATTTAAGCATCCCTGGGTTTAATCCCTAGTAACAACAACAACAAAAAAAAAGTCAAGTCTCAGCCAAAAGTCTAAGGTATCCCACCCTGCATCTAAGACCTGGCAAAGAAGCAAACCATTAACCATTTCCCAGCATTCCCTCCAGGGACATGCACATGGTAGAATCTGAAATGGTTTTTTCCTAGAGTCAGGAATGAATTCCAATCTTGCCCAAGAAATGAAACTTCAGCCATACTTCCAGGAATCCCTTTATCCAGGAAAAGTGGGCCCTGCCTTAAAAGCCTGGCTAAGCCCAAGTGGCCTGCTCTGCTGGCAGGCCTGCCACACCCCCGGCTTGGATTTGCTTATCCTGAGAGTCAGTCATACAGGACATAATGGTATCTCAATCTCCAGGTTGCAGAGCCCTAAGAGTATCCAGCCCCGAGATGGGAATCCCAAGGACTCCAGCCTCAGCCAGCCTCCTAGGAGCCCAGAGATGCCCAAAACACCTGCTTTCCAAAGTCCTTCTGAAGGCCATGCTCAGACCATGACACAGGAAATCTCCACTCAACAGGGAGGCCAGCCTCCCCCATGTCAGAGCCATTCAGATGGACATGTGCCACCAGACTCAGTGCCCACATCCATAAATCAGGCTGAAAGCTTACCAGTGCCAATCCAGCTGCCCAGATGGACCTAAAGCAGCAAAATCTGCCCCAGGACTGCAAGAGTGAAAGAGAAACCATGACCATGCTGATTTCCCCAGGGCTGACTCAGGGGCCACCATATCTTGGGCCCTGCCTAGGAGACAGCTTTGTAGCCAGCTGTGTGCTGGTCCTTAGTGACCACAGCCTGGTGGCAACAACACCAACCAGGTCACTAGGCCCTAATCCCCTTCCACCTGGCCTTACCTATGCTGCTTCTTATCCTCCACCACATAAGAGCACCTAGCAGCCGAGGATGTTGGTGCACACCTGTAAATCCAGAGGCTGGGGAGGCTGAGGCAGGAAGATCACAAGTTCAAAGCCAGCCTCAGCAACTTAGCAAGGCCCTAAGCAACTTAGTAAGATCCCGGTCTCAGAAATAAAAAGGGCCGGGGATGTGGCTAAGAGGTAAAGCCCCTCTGGGTTCAACAATCCCCAGGAAAGGAAAAAGAGCATCCGGCAGACCCTGTGCCGCACTGCTGCAGTGGCTCACCTTGACGCTCCGGTGGTGGACCCGCGAGGGCTGGCACTTGACACTGCTCGTGTTGCAGCAGCCGGTGCAGCGCTTCACCTCCACGCACGGCGGCCAGATCAGGAAGTTGGCAGACGTGGGGTCCACCTGGCTCCGAGGTATCTCGTAAATGACCGTCCTGGTCTTGCAGACTGCAGGAATGGCTTCCTCTGCAGAGGCAAACGCATGGTGACACAGGGGTCGCTTCCATTTCTGTCAGCACAGCACAGCGAAGTGTGCATGCTCTTCCTGACCCCACCTAACGCCATCCAGCCTGACCGGGCCCAGCCTAGGAAGGAGCTGACCCCACATCCCTGATGCCTCTCACGGGAGCTGGCACACTGGGTCCCCAGCAGCCACTCGGGAGCCAGGGAAGAAGACAGGGCTACTGGCAAAGACCCCCAAAGGAAGCCCTGGGCAGGCCCTGGCCACACTGGGCCTACCTCACACACAGCAGCCAAGGAGGAGGAGGGCAGGGGATCAGGCCCAGCAGCAATCCCCACACCACCTAGGGCCTAACTCACAAAGGTCACCAAGAGGCCACCCCGATAGCCCCCAAGGAGAAGGCTGTAGCCACTTCTTGCCCTGCTATCCTCAGTACAGCCACCACAGCCCTAAGACCTCATCTGTCTCCCAGGTGTGAGTTCCTCACAGGACTCTGGGGTACACATCTTCCTCCCCAGATAACCCTTACTAGGCCACATCAGCCACCAGGCCCAGTCATGGGTCATGAGCCGCCCCAGGCCTGCCAGTGGGAAGCTCTGTCCCCTCAACATGCCTAGGGAACCCAACCAGGAGCCAAGGGGCCTGGACAGGCTCTGGGGCCACCCACAGCCTGCTCCCTCTGCCCCCAGCAACAGGGTGGGCCCATCTGGACCCCAGGTTAAAAGCTGAGGAAGCTGGAAGCAGCTGGGGCAAGAGGCCCAGCCCAGCAAGCCAGCCAGGGGGAGGCTGGCACTCGCAGGGTGCGTGACCTGTGTGCACACGCTACAGTCCCCACACTCCAGGGCAAGCAGCCCCATCTCCTGCAGGCTCCCTCAGGAAACAGATACGCCTGAACTGAACTGAACTGAAGGCTCTAACACAGGGCCAGGGGAGGCGGTCAGTTCCTCCACCTGCTTCCTGTCCACAGGGGGAGGAGACCCTGAGGGCCTCCTGACACAGAAGGTAGGAGGAGTAGGCATGAGAGTCCTCCAGAGAAGCCCCCAGGCCCTGGGCTGCACATGCTGATCTGGGCATTTAGGAGGAGTCACCCCACACTGCCCACACTAAGCCCTCCAGCCCAGGACCCTCCAGGGAGGCCTTCCACCCACCCCCAACCTGGACTAGGAATCCTGAGCACTGGATAGAGGGACCTGGCTAGAGTCTGATCTGAAGGGTATAAAATGCATGCTGGCACCAGCAATGTCCCCTGCTCAGTGTACCTAGAAATCACCTACATAACACACCCAAGGTGAAAGACACAAAAGTCTACTTTCTTGTGGGTGCCTGAGGCTCAGAGAGGGGATCCACTTGCCCCAGAGTCACACAGCAATGAGCAGCCCTACAATAAGCGGCGGCACCCTCAGATAGAATGGGACTGAGTGGGTCACCCCCCAACCCCGAGAGCACAGGCCAGCTATTCAGAACATTGTTCCCCAAAGGAGGCCTGCCTGGAGCCCCAGAGACAAAGATGAGTGGGGCAGGGCCCTAGGGAAGGTGTCTCCAGAGGCCCCAGGCCTGGCATACCCGGCTGCACCCGTCTTGTGGCTAGAGGCCCAGGGCCCTGGTGCTTCACATTAGGAACTGGAAATTAAGCTCAGCCACGTTTTCCAGCAAGGCCTCCACGTAGACAGGCCCCAACAAGACGGGGCACTTAAAGAATTTATGATGGCTCTCCTCTCCTGGAAACTCTTGGCCGGGACTACGACTGCAGCACAAGGCAGGCAGGAGACACCGCGTGGAGGTGGAGGAAGGCGGCCCCCGAGAGGGCAGGAGGCCAGAGCTGGAGGAGCAAGCCCAGCCTTTGTCTCATGGCCAGCTCCTCCCACCCGCGCAGCTCCTGAACCCACCGATGCTCCTTTTCCTCCGAATGGGCACAGGCCGCTTCTCGGGCGCATGCTTGGTGGCGTGGGCCCGGTGGGCTCTCAGGCTGGTTCCCAAGGCATCCTCGGCTCCTATGGGTAGAAAGAGAACATGGAGACCAACTGTCCACGCCTGTGTGGTCTGTCTGCCCGGGGGGCCTGAAATACAGGATCCCCAGTCAGCTCTCAGAGCCTCCCCTAGCAAGACAGGTGGAGTCCCCTGAGCCCTCTACCTCCACTCAGGGCTTTCCAGATGGGGAGTGAATGAAACACAACCAGACCAACAATGCCCCATCAACACAGAGGTCCCCGAAACACAAGGGTCCCTGCTAGGCCCGTGGCAAAGCTGGGGCCCTTTCAGGAAGGGGTTCCAGGGGGTCTCCTCTAGGACACCTTCTCCAATGAAGCCAAACTGAGGGTTCCACCAGGTCAGGAAGTCCCTAAGGCCATCTATCCCAGAGCCAAGAGGCTGTACCACCCAGCAGGGTCCATCTCCTGGGCTCTACCACAGCCATAGTAATGCACTGAAAGACGGGGCTACTGAGGCTCCTGCTGGATGAAGTGTCCTAACCTTGGAGGGGCATCAGAAGCAAGGCCAGACTGGGCTGTGAGCCAGCCCCTACTTGTTCCTGAAATAAGTCTGCGCTGAGGGCCAGAGGCCATGAGAAAACGGCAGGAGGGCAGGAGGGCTCGTGGAGTGTAACTAAGGAGTGGCTGAAGGCCTGAGGCAGGAGTCACGGTGCCAGGCAGAGAAGGCAGAGGTGGTCTGCAGAAAAGGAAGTAGATCTCACCCACATGCCTGCAGCCATGTCTAGGCAGTGGGGGCCCAGATGGCTCCAGTCACAGAGCAACAGCCCAGCACTAAGACCACACGGAGAACCCCAGCCCCACACAGTGCAGAGGGAGGAGGGCCACAGAGATTATAGCCCGGAGTCTCAGGCTCTCCAATTTCTGGGACTGAAAAAGGACACAGCCCTACCACCTGTTATATGGACGGAGGAGTCCAACAGCACCCATACCTAGCTATCGTCGGTCCTACCTGGCCCCTCAGCCTGGGCCCTCCAGATGTAGCAGGAAGTCCCAGGACATGTGTCCAATAGCCAGGACTCTCCAAGATTTGCTGGATCCTATCCTGCAGCCTCCTCTCCTCTCCAGCTCAAAGGACCTCCCATCTCCTAGCCCAGGTAGGAGCCCACCCCCAGTGTCAGATGTGCAGCCCAAGGTTGCTCTGGCCAACCCACCCAAGCATCCACAGCCATCTGCAGAAACTCTGGCCTCCTCCACTTCCCTGAGATGTACGGAACCTACACAATTAATGAGAACTAAAAGCCTTGTATCAGGTATGAAAGTCCAAGATGAAGGCAGGGCCGAGCCCAACTTTTGACTTCAAAAATGACTCAATGTTCCAATGTCACTGATTTTTTTTTTTTTTTTGGGAGACCCAAAATAAGATCAGAACACAACTACTCATGCACTAAGAATTTCCCATCAACCAATTGTCACAAGGAGCATTTTTTCATGGAAAAGCGACATTGTGAGTCATGTCCTGGTGGTACCCATCTTGCCATGGCCAAACCAACCAGGTCCACTCTCAGCTTCTGGAGACTCAGCAAAGGCACCTTCTGACCCCTTCTACCATCAGGCTGGCTCAATTGCTTCCCTGAGTCTTAACCTTTATAGGTATGAAGTAAAGGCTCCATCAGCCTTTCATGCCCAAGGAAACCTGGGCCCAAATCAATGGAACAAATCAAGGACAGATGGCTCATGAAAGGACCCTCAGGACCAGTGTCCAGTGGTCTGGACTCCCAGCCCAGGCCCCTTGGCCCAATTTTAATGCACTGCGAGAATTTTGGTCCTCAAAGCTGACACTTTATCTCCTTAGAGATAAGACAGTGAGAGCCGCTCTTACTCAGACAAGCCTGCCCTCTGTTCCTGGGTCAAGATGGGTGGTCACAAGCCAAAAGCAGACCCTTGCTCTGGGGGACACAGCCAGTCTGATTTATGATGGCTGATTTATGCTCTGGCAGTAATTTAAATGAGACCCCCTGAGAGCCCTGCGTGAATCATCCCCTGAAATCACTCTCGGGACAGTTCCCCAAGCAGTTTCCCTTTGGTCTGAGATGCAAGCGTCCACAAGATGACACATGGCAATTCACAAGACAGAAGACTCCTCATGCTCTGCCCCAGTCAGGTCTTAATGGCCAGGATAGGGATATTTGTGTATCAGTTACTCAATGACCCACTGGACATCCAGCTAGACCACTCTGGAGAACATCCATCTTAGCCACACAGTCCCTAAACTCCATGACTGCTGGTCACTGAAAGACGCAGGCAAATCCCCCCATACTGTACACTATGCAAATCCCCCGCCTATCCTATACACTATGGAACACTCCCAGCTCGGTGACATTCTGGGCCAGGAACCCCACAGCCTCTGGAGGTCTGGACACACGAGGGAGGAGCTATCTGGTTGAACGAAGTTTTCTCATCTGTAAAATGGGGAGCAGCTGGCTTATTGGATATGTGATTAGCATTGCAGCTCTGTGGGGTTTGCCCTTAGAATTCCTGATCTTGGGGCTTCTGGGCTGGAACCTCTTTTGGAGACTACAAAAAGGACTGTCTATCACAAAGCTCCACCCACTCAAGGTGGGACCCGGGATACCCAAAGCCTCTTACCCTCTCCCTATACTACAGACTTGCCCCGGAGAAACCTATCAGCAAGAGTTCTCCTAAGGACCACCCTCCAGAGAGCCCCACAGTGGGTTAGTCAAACTGAGCTTCTCCCAGCCCTTGACCTTTCCTCATCCACCCCAGCCTTCTAAATGGCTCTTGCCAGACCAGGGTACCCCCAACAGGCCAGATGTACCTCTGAGTAGACTTAAGAGGGAGGCCAGGGCCCAGAAACCTGGCCACGGGGAGCGGGGGGCTGTCTACAAATCCCCTCAGTCAGGAAGGTGGAGGGGTGGGGGCAGGATTGAACCCAACACAAGTTCAGAAGCCAATAGGCCATTCCTGTCCTCTGCTCAGGGACTCTTCTGCTTCCACACCTGGGGGAGGGGAGGTGAATCAGGAAGAGGAGAGAGATACTTTGGGGTTTTTGTCACAAAGGGTCCTCACCCCAGACCAAGACTAAGGAGCAAGATGGGCTCCAGAGGCCCTCAATGCACTCTCACAGAGTTCCCCAGGCACTCAGAGAATCCTGTGCAGACCCAAATGTCTGACAGGTGGACAGGAGTCCTAGGACTCATCCCTGCATTCCCCAGGCCAGAAGGGACAGGCAGTTCCCCTCACAGGACATTTTTATAGGGGCAATTTGAAAACAGCCTGAGGACTATCAGTGCACCCTGGCTTTTCCCTTGGGATTCTCCAAAAAAGGCTCCAGCCCAGAAGCCCCCAGGTCAGGAATTCCATGGGCAAACCCCACAGAGCTGCTAAAAGCGTTAATGGGTGGGGGTGGGGTGGGGGAGGCGGGGCTCCAGAAACCAGAATAAGAATGGTCCCAGCAGAAAGTGAATGGCCCATTTCCATGCCGCATCCAAAAAGACTAACCTACAGGAGGTCCAGCCCAACAAGGTCTCACCCCCACAAAGCAAAAGGAAAGCAAAGCCCTGGATCCCTCAAAGAAAGGCAATCTCCATGTCTCCAAATCCACCAGGGACCAGTGAAATGCCAAGCGAGTATTTCCCCAGTTTCCCAAACCAAACCCTTCGCCCCCAGGCTTGCACATCAAGGGACTGAGTCAAAATCCCCTGGCCCAACTCTGATCTCCAAGTGAAATCCTACCCCACTCCTGATAAGGATCAGGAGAAGGATTTCCTGGGTCAAGAAACTACAGAAACCAGCCGCCTTGTTAGAAAATGGTTTTGGCATGGAATGAAAACAGTTTGGGCCTCTCCACCATCATAATTAGGTACAAATTTCCAAATGACTAGACCATGTGATTCTACTTAATTCCCCCACCACCCCCCTTTCCAGAGTAGTTGCAGTGAGAGAAAAAAATCTTCATTTCACTTAAAATTCTTCACTTTGGCTGCCTTTCATTCCTCTTCTTGACAAGTTCATCTCAGGCCTTTTTAAAAAGCCAGTCAGTACATTTTCCCGCTTGAGTACCTCCCTAGTTAACTCAGGATGGAGTTCCAAAGTGTTAATTTTGAAAATGGCGCCACAAACGACCTAGAGGAAACCTGGTCCTCCAGCACCGGCTCTCTAGTTCTTGGAGAGCACAGCCCCCAGCACCACCACTGCCCCCACTGCAGAGACCCCTTTAACTCCTGCAACCTTGGATCTAGCCCACAGCGCAACCAGAGCTTCAAAACTCTACGTCTACAAGTAAACTGTTTTCTGAAGTGGCTGAGCTCCAGACTCCTGGAGTGAGTCCCCAAAATAGCCCCAAGCACATGTGTCCTAGGCGTGCCTTTTTATTGGGTCGTGAAAAGAGAAAGACACCGGCCTCCGGCAGCCACACAGAGGCCCAGCCCCGCACGCAGTGCTTACTAAAGGGCCCTGGCCCCACCGGCCGCACGCCCCTCAGGGTTTAACCAGGTGGGCGGCGGGCCAGGTGCACGAACCAGGGCTTTGCCCACCCCGAATAATCCCGCGCTCCGCAGCCCGCACACCTGGCGGCCGAGCGGGGCGCCCTCTCCGCTGCTGCGGCTGAACTTCTCATGACACGCGGCTTTTTCCGTAACTGCGAAAACAATCCCCCCGTGAGCAACCAGCCCTCGGCCGCCGCTGGGAGAGAAAGTGGCGACTGGAGGAGAAACGCCTGACTCATGCGCCTGGGCGTTTATGGCCGGGGAATGGATTCTGACCTTTCGGTGCGCTCCTGAGCTGCGCCCGGCCGGGCCGCGCGGGGGGCGGCTCCGCGCAGACTCCCCGCCCGCCACCCGCGCCCTCCCCGCGCCAAGGGCAGGGGCGCGATTTACCTACGGAGTCTATCTCCAGGAGTCGCTGGAGGTCGCGGATGCTGTGGATCTCACTACGGGCCAGCCGCTCGATCAGCTCGCGGGGGATCTCAGCTTCCTGCAAGCAGACCACACGGTCAGCGCCTGCGGCGCGCGTCCAGCAGCCCAGGGCCTCCTGCCAGGCCCGAGGGGGCTGCACCACCGCAGCCCACACGGACCCCGCCCGGGCGGTGGAGTGGAGTCCGAGACGAGGGTGGAGTGGCTGAGTCCCCAAGTTCTCCGCCCCCATCCCTGTCTGCCCTTTGCAAAAAGAGACCCCACTACCGCCTTTACTGCTGGAACAAAAGCCCCCACACTCCAGCCCTCGCCTGGGGTGTCAGTTACAGGTCTGGGGGAGGTGAAGGGGCTGCGGAGTTTCTGGTTTAATAGTAAAATCCACATCTAGATAAAGCGAGTCGAAATGCGTCACGGATCGACGACGAAAGTCGCGGCAGCTCTAACACTTTAATCTAGCCAGGGGCTTAAATTTCACGCCCTGGAATCCCGGGCCGAGCTCTTGGAGAAGAGGGTCTCCCCTCACCACACACGCACGCGCGCGCGCGTTCGCCCCACCCGACTCCGGCCCAGCCGCGGCCCTAGCGCCGACTAGGACGCCCAAATCCAGCGGCGGCGGGAGAGGCTGCAGGGAAAGCGAGGGTTAAATATCCACCTCTGGCTCTCGGGTCCCTTCCCAGCCCACCCCCACCACTTAGCCTCCCCCACTCTCCCTCCCGGTGTTTAAAAGGAGTCGGGGGTCGCTGGGGGGCTCAAGCACTAAGTTCCCACGACAGAGGCTGTGGAAAGTCATTCATCACGGCAAAGCTCCTGGGGACTCAGGGGCGGGGGGTGGGGGGACGCCAGCGGTGGGAGGGCGCGGGCGCCTGGCCCGGCCCCAGCTGCCTCGCTCAGCCACCTGTAAGCAGGGCCCCAGGCGGGCCGGACTGCACGGGCCCTGCGCCCCGCCGGGCTTGGGAATCTCGAACCCGGGGCTGCGACTCGGCGATGCCCACCCTGCCCAGCCTGGAGCTTCCGCCGCAGCTGCCTCTACCTGTTTACTAGCCGCCCAGCTTCTCTCCCTGGGCTCCACCAGCTCACACACACCCCCTTCTTTGCTGCCCGCACCCCGTTATTGCATTGCCCGCCACGACCCGGCTACCCCTCCCTGAAGACGCGCCCGCGCCCCCCGAACTTTCTCCCCACTCTGCACCTCGTAGCTCCGCCGTCCCTTTGAGGCAGAGCGACGCAACACGCTGTAGACTCACTAGACACACTTGGGCATGGCAGAAAATAGAACCCAGTTGAGAAAATTTTAAAATTGACCAATCTAGTAGAAATCTAAATGCTTTCTGCAGAGTCTGGGGCGCCCGGGCCCGCGGGGGGCGTGCGCCGGGGGGACGAAAGGGGGGACAGGGCGCGGGGGTGGCACCCACCTCGGCCAGGGCATGGGCGAGGTATCCGCAGCCGAGGAGCAGCAGGCAAGCCCAGGTCCTCATCGCGTCCCGAGGCGCTGGCGGCTCGGCGGGGAGGAGAGGCCGCAGGGCGGGCGCTCCAGCCGGGCTCCTGTGGCGGCGAAATTCAGTACCATCCCTCAGGGAACGCGGCCCGGAGGAGGGTGGCGCGGAGAGCAAGGAGCAGGCGGAGCGCGCTCGGCGCGAGCAGTGAGTGCGGCGCCAGCGAGGAGGAGGAGGAACAGGGAGAGCGCGCTTGCAGCGCCGGGAACCTCCTGGGCCGCCGAGTAGGGGGTGGGGACGGAAGGGGCGGAGGGCGGGGGCTGGGCTTCTTCCTTGGTGCGTTCCCGGTGCTGGCCGCCGCCGCGCTCGCTCCCCGGCGCTGGCTTTAGGAGCGACCCGGCCGGTAATTCCGCATATTTGCGGGTATCGGCCCCAAGAGGGACACCGGAGCGAGGCTGGGGCCGCTGCCGCACCACCGATCACCTGTCTGGACGCCCGGCCGGGCCCCAGCTGCCGGCTCGCGCTCTCCC